TTTATTAGTGCTCTTTACCTTTTCATGTGGACCCGAGTTATCTTCTGCGGTCACTTGCTCTCAGCATGAAGAACCTCCTCTAGTATTTCTTATCAAATGGCTCTTTGAGCAACACATTCTCTTGGTTTATGTTTATTTGGAAATGTTACCTTCATATTTGAAAGGTAGTTTTGCACGGGGCGCCTGGGTGGCTCAGATGGTTAAGCGTCTGCCTTCAGCTCAGGTCATGATCTCCAGGTCCTGGGATTGAGCCTCATGTTGGGCTCCCAGCTCAGCAGAGAGTCTGCTTCTCCCTCTGCCTCTCTCCCTGCTTGTGCTCTCTCTGTCTCTCTCTCAAATGAATAAATAAAACCTTAAAAAAAAGAAAAAAAAGATAGTTTTGCTGGATATAAGATTCTTAGTTGCCAGCGTGTTTTCCCCCCAACACTTTGTCTATGCCATTCCACTGCCTTCTGATCTCCACTGCTTCTGAAGAGGAGTCAGCTGTTGATGCTGTGGGGTTCCCTTGTATGCAATGAGTCATTTTTCTCTTGCTCTTTCAAGATTTTCTCCTTGTGTTTCAGCATTTTACAATGATGTGTCTGGGAGTTGATCTCTTGTTTTGTCCATTGAGTCCATAAGCTTGGAGTCCATTGAGCTTCTTGGATGTATAGAATAATGTTTTTCAGCAAAGGTGGGTTGTTCTCAACTATTTTTTTCTTTGAAAAATTTGCCTACATTCCCATTACATGTATACGGGGGATGAACTTAATGGGTGTCTCACACTTCTCTGAAGTCTCTGTCGTTCCTGTGTGTATGTGTGTGGTAGAATATACGTAAGATAGTTTACCATTTTGGGCGCCTGGGTGGCTCAGTTGGTTAAGCGACTGCCTTCAGCTCAGGTCATGATCCTGGAGTCCCGGGATCGAGTCCCGCATCGGGCTCCCTGCTCAGCAGGGAGTCTGCTTCTCCCTCTGACCCTCCCCCCTCTCGTGCTCTCTGTCTCTCATTCTCTCTCACAAATAAATAAATAAAATCTTTAAAAAAAAAAAAAAAGATAGTTTACCATTTTAACCATCTTGAAGTGTACAATTAAGTGGCATTAAGTATATTCACAATGTGGTACAACCATCACCACTATCCAGTTCCAGAACTTTTTCATCATCCCAAACAGAAACTCTGTACCCATCAAACAATAGCTCCCCATTCCCCACTTCCTCCAGCCTCTGCTAATGTCTGTTATTTTTTATTTGTCTATGTCTGGCCAACTTTTATACTTTAACCCTAGCAGCTTCCTTTTTATCAGGCTTTCATGGGTGAGGGGCATTCTTTGGCTTAAAAATATAAGTTGAAGAAAATTACTGCCTGGGGAGAAAGAAAAAATATAAGCCAGGTGGGGATGGGAATGGTGGTAAATTTCATTTGAAAGGATTTTTTTTTTTAATACAGAGAGAGAGAACATGTGTCATGAGTAGGGAGAAGGAGAGAGAATCCCAAGCAGGCTCCACACTCCGCATGGAGCCTGAAGCAGGGCTCGATCTCATGACCCTGAGATCATGACCCTCGCTGAAATCAAGAGTCAGACGCCTAACTTACTTAGCCACCCAGGTGCTCCCATTTGAAAGGATTTTTTGAGTAGCTCTGTGGTCAGAATTGTCCAAATTAGAAGTTGACATTCAGAACCTGATAGGAAAAAGAAGACATACAGAATGGCCAATAGACACATGAAAAGATGCTCAATATCACTAACCATCAAAGAAATGCAAGTCAAACCCACAATGAAATATCACCTTACACCTGTCATAATGGTGATTATTACAAAGCTGTATTGTTTTACTCTGATAATTTTTGCAAAAGTGTTCCTGCAAAATGCTTCATGTTCAAAGAGATTCATGGAAAGGACTTTAAAAGTACAAGTTTTCTGATAACTTTAAAATCATAAAACATTTAAACTGGGTACAAATTTCCAGAACTAATAGAAAAACTGGATTCCAGCAGAACAAGTACAAAGTATATGGGACTGAATGAACTCACGAGGATGAATATGATTTTTTATGACTTTTTGTTTGAAATACTGCTGGTTCCTTAATGTTTTGTTTTTCCAGACCTAAGGAAATGCCTTCTCTTAAACTATCTATGACTTACAGCAATTTGGTACAGTATAGCTTTGTAAACAAAGATGAAATATTTACCTTTTCTCCGGACCTATTCCTTCCAGAATTCAGAAACCCTTGAGTATTCTTTTCATGCCAATATGGGTAGTTATTTGCATAAGTTCAATAAGAATCTGTTTTCTTTGTAACAGGACACAACTGGAAACCCTGGCCATATTGCCAAGGGTTTAATTGGAATGTCATATTTGAGAGAGACCTGAATAGACTCAGATGTAACCACACAGCCTTCAGGAACTGCTTGGATAAATTGGTCTGGAATCTTCCTCACAGGTTCTTGGAAGCCTTACCAGGTAAGTAAGGAAGGTCACTTCCTGGTTGGTCCAGGAACCTCAGCTTATTTGGGGGGATCTCAAGAAGGGAGGAATTCACCCCAACTCTAAGTATCACAGGTAACATCTGATGACAATCCTTGGCTTGGCTTCCTGGCTTTAGAGGCTTTTAAAGTTCAATCTGAAATTCCTAATGAAAAGTTTCAGGGATGCCTGGGAGGCTCAGTCGTGAAGCATCTGCCTTCGGCTCAGGTCATGATCCCGGCGTCCTGGGATCGAGCCCCACATTGGGCTCCCTGCTCAGCGGGAAGCCTGCTTCTCCCTCTCCAACTCCCCCTGCTTGTGTTCCCTCTCTCATTGTGTCTCTCTCTGTCAAATAAATAAAATCTTAAAAACAAAAAACAAACAAAAAATATTTTATTTATTCATCTGACAGAGAGAGAGCACAGGCGGGGGGCAGCAGAGGGAGAAGGAGAAGCAGGCTCCCCGCTGAGCAGGGAGCCCGATGCGGGACTCGATCCCAGTACCCTGGGACCATGACCTGAGTTGAAGGCAGACGCTTCACTGACTGAGCCCCCCGGGTGCCCCGCCAGTGCCGTAAATTTTGATCACATCCTCAGGTAGGCTGAAGGTCGGATCAAAAGTGGGAGAATTGTTAAGAGACAAGGCCATGGACGGAATCAGCTGTGCCGAGTCCCAAGTCAGCAAACCCAGACCTAACACCCAACCCAACTGCAGGTTCAGCCTCTACTAGTCTGCACCAGTGGGGGGACTGCCGGATGCGGGAAGGGGACGTTCAAACCCAGGTCCCCACCAGTGAGGGGACCCCTGACTGCGGGAAGGGATCATTCAGCCCTGGGTCCCCACCAGTGAGGGGACCCCTGATGTGGGGAAGTATCCTTTAGCCCTGGGTCCCCACCAGCAGGGTGATTGCCTGACATGAGGAGGAGACCTTCAGCCCCAGGTCCCCACCAGTGAGGAGACCCCTGACGCGGGGAGGGGATCATTTAGCCCTGGGTCCCCACCAGTGAGGTGACCTCCTGCTGGGAGGAGGGATCCTTCAGCCCCGGGTCCCCACCAGTGAGGGGACCCCTGATGCGAGGAGGGGACCTTCAGCCCCGGGTCCCCACCGGTGAGAGGACCCCTGACGCGGGGAGGGGATCATTCAGCCCTGGGTCCCCACCAGGAAGGGGACCGTCAGCCCCAGGTCCCCAACAGCAGGGGGACTGCCTAACACGGGGAGGGGACCTTCAGCCCTGGGTCCCCACCAGTGAGGGAACCCCTGACAGGGGGAAGGATCCTTCAGCCCCGGGTCCGCACCAATAGGGGGAACTACCTGACCCAGGAAGGGGACCTGGCCGGAGCCCCCCTACTGTCCCTCAGGCTCTGAGGCTGAAGTTTGTGCCGCTCTGAGCTCCGAGCTCCTCTGTCTGATAGGTGGGATGCTGGAAGAAATTGTGTTTTTGTGTGTGT